GGTGTCCTGCCCTCTGCCCCCATGTCTAAGGTCAGGAGGGTGGTCCCGGGCTGTGCAGGGCCGCGGTGTCCTTCCCTCTGCCCCATGTCTAAGTCCGGGAGGGTGGTCCCCGGGCTGTGCAGGGCCGCGGTGTCCTCCCCTCTGCCCCATGTCTAAGTCCGGGAGGGTGGTCCTAGGCTGTGCAGGGCCGCGGTGTCCTCCCCTCTGCCCCATGTCTAAGGCCGGGAAGGTGGTCCCGGGCTGTGTAGGTGGTACGTCCATGTGATGTCAGCCCCACAAACTCGTTGCACTCACACATGGAACTTTGGGGGGTGGGGCAGTTAGGAGCCCAGGTTTTGTTCTGACCTTCACTGGACTCCTCCTCCTCTTCCTCGTCATAGTCCTCCTCCTCTTCCTCTTCCTCCTCCTCCTCTTCCTCCTCCTCCTCTTCATTCCCAGGCCCAAAGCTCTTCAAGGCCTCTAGCTCCTCTTCACTCTTCCCTTTCAGAAGGGCGTGGATCCGCACAGCCTCCTTCCACGGAACGCCGCCCAGGTCAGAGGGGGGCAGGCGAGCCGCCTCCTCCTCCTCCTCCTCTTCCTCCTCCTCCATCTCAGACTCGGAACTGCTGTGAGGAAATAAACACACAGCCAGAGTGAGGGAATGAAGGAAAACTGAGAAGGGGAAGGGGAAGGGCCACCATCAGAAGCAATGCGTCCCAGGCAAAGCACCTGCTGAGCAGGTGGAGAGAGACAGCAGGGAGTGCCATAAGCAGGACAGGGCACCTGGGCACGAGGAGCCACCTACCCGAACCCACCTAAGGGGACAAAGGGAAGAATGCTCCTGCTCACTGACCTCGAGCCCTTCTCTGCAGGTGGATGGGGCAGGGAGGGGACCCCCGAGGGCTGCCTGTGGGTCTGCCCTAGCCTCTGCACTCGGAGGGGAGCATGCAGAACAGCTCCTTAGGGAGCCCATGGAAGTTCCTGACCATGACTGCCCTTCAAGGGGCAGCCCATCCCTCAGGGTGCTTCAACCCAGCAAACACTGAGATCACTGGTTTCGGTTTCACAGAGGCTGTGAGGGCACAAGCAGGGCAGTGGACTGGTTCTGATATAAACCCACGAGTCTGGGAATTGAGAATGGAAAGCCTTCTCTCGTGCTGACCTGCTGTCTGGTTACAGGAACTCAACTCTATGTGACAGCGGTAGGTCAGAAGGCTCTCAGCGCTGTGGGTGTCGTGGGGGGAGGGGGGCCCTGAAAGGCCTGGACTGAACTGGCTGGCGATCAAGGCCCGTGAGCCCATGTGCTGGGGTGGGGCGAGAGATTCCATTTCCTGGAGCTCCTCAGAATCCCACCAAGTGCCAACCCCTGAGGGGGGCACTGGGGAGGCACACCAGGAAATGATGGCAAGGGTACCGCTCACTGCAAAGCCACAGCACAGAGACAACGGGGAAAGGGGCGGAGGCAAACCTGCAACCCCAGGGCGGTCGCTTTTGCCGGCTGCTGCACTGCCAAGCCCTCCTGTCGAAGCTGCAGCTAAGTGCGGCCGATATGGGGGGCAGCACGTGTGCGAGAATGCACATGCCACCACGGACACTACCCGAACCGCGGCTCCCGGCTCCAGACACTCCCTGCAGCTGTGTACCTCACCCCTGCCCTGCAGAGGGAGGCAGGACAGGGACAAAACTGGGCCCCTGCAACCTGTACGGCTCCAATACAGGCAAAAACCCCAGCGTTGCTGCACAAATGGTGATGTGTCTGAGTGTTTCATGGTCTGTTAATTCCCAAAGCAGCTTTTTCAGAAGCGGCCTTGCCTGCAGTGACAGACCCGGGGAAATCCGGCTTTCACAGTCAAGCCAGGGCCCGACCTCTGGCCCAACAGAGCCCCAAATCCAAGAAGCATCAGGCACGGAGGGGGCATCTGCCCAACCTCTTGTGAGGGTGTGTCCTCTCTCGCCCAGGCAGGCTCGCCCACAGCCCACTTGTGTGTGAGAGGTTAGCCAGTGAATACACCACAATGGGCACTGAGGGCCCCTGCCAGGTGAAGAATCTCACCTTGCCAAAGAGAGGACCCCGGTCCTTGTCCTTGGCTTCAAGAAGGTAACCTAGACACGCCTGGGATGCCCTGCCTACAGGGCTGTGGCTGTCTGCCGGGGACCTCGGGTCATGTCACACAGCCTAGTTGATTAGGGTGAGGCTTCAGGTCGCACGGTATCCAGTAACCCGGAGACTGAGATCAAGCATGTGGACAATCAATCAATCAATCATTGCATGTGAAATAAAAACTCCCAACACGGAGTCTCAGGGGAGCAATACTCCTGGCATTTTGTCACACATGGGTAACAAGAGAGTACAGCCGTCCTGGCCCCACAGTGAGCACAGCGGAAGCTGAGTCTGGTTCTCTCCTGGACTCACCCCGTGTCCTTCCTCCCTTGGCTCACTGGCATCTGTGCCCTCTCCCTGTAATGAGCCACAACCATGAGTACAACAGCTTTCAGTGAGCTCTGTGAGTCCTAGCAAATGATCAAACCTGCAGGTGATTCTGGGAGACTCTGGAATTTGACACTGGGGTCAGAAATGGGGCAGTCTTGTGGGCTGTACCCCCTTTCAGTTGGCTAGCTCCCCACTCTGCCACACCAGCTCTGCTCCTGGCTGGCTGTGTGACTGTAGGTTGATTACTTGTGCTCTCTGAGTTTGCACGTTCATTCACTCACCCAGCGAACATTTCTGAGCACCTACGGCTCAGCCAGTGCACACAGGAATAAAAAGAGCTGGCTGCTTAGTGCAAGGAGCGCAGGGCAGTGAGCCCGGCCTTGTCCGTTCACTCATCTGAATACAACTTATTTGATTATCTTCTCCTTACAATGCACTTGCTAGACGTTGTACGGAACACAGAGGTGACACAGGAAAGACCCTATGCTCAGCTGGGCCCAGTGGCTCTGGCATCTGTGATCCCAGCACTGTGGGAGGTTGAGGCAGGTGGATCATTTGAGCCCAGGAGTTTGAGACCATCCTGGGCAACCACAAGGAGACCCTGTCTCTACCAAAAAAAAAAAAAAAAAAAGAGATAAAAATAAAATAACAAATGCCCCCTATTCTCAAGGGGAGAAAAGGTGCATGCATGCCATGCTAAAGCACAGAATACAGGCACGGTGGGCGGAGGGCAGGAGGAGGGCTAAGGCGGGCAAACCTAAGAATCTGGGCCACAGAAAGCTTGGCATCTGGATTTTGACTAGTTTTCAGCATTACCTTTACTGGTATTCCTTTTGCCTTACGTTTGTGTTTTCATTAACTTACTTTCTTCTTCTTTTTTTTTAGATGGAGTCTTACTCCGGTGGGCTGGAGTGCAGTGGTGCAATCTCTGCTCACTGCAACTTCTGCCTTCTGGATTCAAGTGATTCTCCTGCCTCAGCCTCCCGAGTAGCTGGGACTACAGGCGCGCCACCATGTCCAGCTAATTTTTTTGGTATTTTTAGCAGAGACGGGGTTTCACCGTGTTGGTCAGGCTGGTCTTGAACTCCTGACCTCGTGATCCACCCGCCTGGGCCTCCCAAAGTGCTGGGATTACAGGTGTGAGCCACTGTGCCCGGCCTAATTTACTTTCTTATTAATGAACAACGATACGTAACCTAGTGCATGCTATTTGATATTGTTTGGGCTGGGCGTAGTGGCTCACGCCTGTAATCCAAGCACTTTGGAGGCCAAGGCAGGCGGATCACCTGAGGTCAGGAGTTCAAGACCAGCCTGACCAACACAGTGAAACCCCGTCTTAAAAAAAAAAAAAAAAAAAAAATTAAAAAAAAGAAAAAAAAAAAAGACATTGAACATAAAATAAGGCTAAGGACGCATCTACACTCACCTTAAATCTTCGCTGGGCCAAGGGAAGGCCTCCTGGTTCCTCCTTCCCAGCTGAGCAGCTGGGGCCTGTGCAAGGCTGCCCAGCAGTTGGCAGCAGGGTGGGGCCACGCTGCCGCTCACTGGGAGGGGGCCTCAGTGCAGGCCTGTCCTCGCCCTGCGCCATGTTATCAGGATGGCTGCACAGGCACAATGTGGACACTGAATAAATGCCCCGAGATGAGGACAGCGAGGCCCGCTCACAGCTGTTAGTGTCACATCAGCTGGTTTCACAACAGCTGAAGGACCAGGGGAGCACAGAAAAGAGCAGAAAACAACCCTCACCTCTGTGCATCAGCTGCAAGCCCAGCCCACCTCCCAGAGACCTTGCCGCGTGCTGCTGTAGCTCCCAGACAGGCCACCCTCTCTTCGTGAGGGACACAGAGAAAGCCGGCAGGAGTTGCCAATGCCGTTCCAGCCCATCATTTTCACAGAACTGGGCAGTCTCTGGGTCTGCCTAGGTCCTGTGCACCACACCCAAGACTTGCAGTTGAATTTAGTGCCTTGAGGCTCCGAGCACCTGCATCTCTGGGGGAAGGGTACAGAGGAGGGAGAAACCTGCAGTGTGGCTGACCCTCTGGACTCTAGCCTGGAAACTTCTTAAGCACTGAGAATCACTATACCAGAAACAAATGCAACACAGACAGCCAACTTCTCCCTTCCTCTGGGGAGAGGGTGACTTTTCAGAAGACTGCCTCCCAGGAGAGATGGGGTCAGGAGATATAGTCATCAGGATCACCTTTCCCTCCTTACAGGACTGGTGCTGGTGAGAACTTATTGTCCTGAGAGGTTGTTTGATTTGGGTCTGCCTTCCCCGGGGCTGCACTCTCTCTCCACGGGCAGGTGCCGGGTCACCACCGTACTCCTCACAGGGCCAAGCATGGCCAAGACAGCAGGAATGTGCCAGGGGCCGCAGTGAAAGCCAGGGCAGGGTTATGCTACTTTCAGAGGTGTCAGAGGTTCACCCCAACTGCCCCCTGGTAAAGCCTCCATCAGAAGGTGCTGGCCCTTCCAGTTAGAAGAGTGTCCAGCAAAAACCCTCCCTGCTTCAGTTTACACCCAGCTACTCAACTGAAAGCACCTGCCCTGAATCTGCCCCCCAGCTGTCTTCCCACTAAGGCACTGACGGGTCTAGCATGGGAAAGAAAACCAATGGGGATGTGCACGTGATTTTTGCTCCACTTTATGTGCTCTGCAGCCCTCTGCTGTGTCAAGACGGGCAGATCCAAGGGTGACAGTGATGGATGGAGGGAGCCCTGACCGCGTGCCCGTAGCACAAGGTGGTTCTCGTGGGTAGCTCATTGAATCGCACAACTGCTCTAGGACTTTGCTGTCCTGCTTTTGTAAATGATGAGACTGAAGCCTAAGGAAGTTGGATTATTTGCCTAAGGTGATGTTGGGATTTCCACCAGGGTCCATGGATTATGAGACTCACCATGTGTCATGCTGTGCCCTTCTGGGTGGTTCTACCAGAACCACCTGCCAGGGTGACAAGACTAGGAAGAAGGTCTTGATCAAGCTCCCGGCTGCCCGGACGCAGCCTGACAAGAGCAGACCAGGAATTCAAGCAGACCCTACCACGAATGAGGCAGGCTGCTGCCAGGAACCACTGGAAGTTCCTGGGTGGTTTTCAAAGGGCAGTGGCAAACCATGGTCTTCACTTTTAAACTAACCCACTCATAATCAGAAGGACTCTGACATCCTCTGTCCTGCTGGGCTGCACCCCTAGGTACC